CATACAATGGCCTTAAATGTTTAGTTAGTTTCATGGTTGGTCTCTTAAAGATGACATTTTCAACAGCATCTATTTTCACTTCATGTTTGTCTTCCATTGAATCATCTCTTTGTGATAAGTCAACATGCAATATTTCTCATTGAGTTTCTGCTTCTTGGATTTCCTTTTTACTTTCCTCTAGTACTTCTTCTTCGGTTACCCAGCTTGTAGGGGAAAGCAATATTCTTGAAGGTGACCCATACTTCTCAGAGCGAGACACTCTTTTCTTTCTTTTGGATGTCCCGTGCAACACATAGTAATCAAAGGAAAGCCCAGATGGTTCTCCCAAAAAATCCACCCCGCGAACACCTTCTCGATGTAGCTGTTTCAACAAAATATTGCGCGACAATCCCCTCTTTCTTCTCTCTGCTTACAAATCAATTTCTTCTTCAATGTCCGTCATACCATTATCCTCTTCTTTATCATATACCCCTCGAGATGTTTGGCCTTCTTCACATTCCAGCACACATGCTTCCTCCTCATTATCCTAGATTTCATCCTCTTCATTTTCTTTGTTTTTGAATTCATTGACTAATAAATAATTATTAGTCATGACAGAAGGTAACGTACCGAACTGAATACTGAGGGGTTGCTCTGGATCTTCCTCATCTTTCTTTCCTTGCTCAAACTTTGATTTCTCAGAAGAACTTTCTGGTAACTCTTCCATTGATTCGCCCATACTAGTCACTTTACTATCTTCGAGAACATTTTAGTTGGCCACTTCGAGCAGTTAGGCACCTTAAGACGTGACAATCCTTGTTGTTACCTCATCATTCGTCCATAATTTCCTTGAAAACGCCTTTGTTGAGTTCTGGTCATCTCATTGAAAGGTATCACCCTTCTTGCATTATACTAGAATGAATGCCATATATTTGGTTGGAGAGGTTGCGGCCTGAATGTCCTCCCATTGTTTATTGGCCTAAACTGCCCCTCAAAAGGCGGTCCTATATTGAATGAGTACCTCGCTGATGAAGGCAAAATAATAATTCCATTTAATTTCGGGTTTGTCCATTTTAAGTGAAGTGCTAGTCTTATTAGATTAAAAATGGGCCAATGATCAAAACTCAGGGCAGATTCCGTCGTTTTGGCCTTCAATTAAGCGTTTTTACAGTTTATGGTAATTTTTGTTTTGG